AATCAAAATTATTTTTAAATGGATAGCTTTCAGTACACTCAGAATTTGCAAATTGATTTTAATGCTTAGCAGTGTTTTAATAATAATACAAAAAAAACACAGGATCTAAAAATTAATAATGAAAACCCTGAGGAGAAGGGACAAAAGATGAGAATGCAACATTAATAAATCAACACAAGTTATTCAAGAAAATGAAAACAAGATTTATATTATTATCATAAGCATAATCATTTTTCAATATCTTTTGAAAGCTGATAAACACAACAGATAACATTTATGAAGAGCTGACTATATTTCAGGCACTCTTGCTAAAGATTTTGTGTGCAATAATAAATCATTGTAAAAATTCTTATAAAGTGGGTACTGATATTTTATTTTCATTTTATAGATGAGGGAAGTGGTGAAGTATTTTAATAAATTTTCTAGTATAGAAATGTTGTTTCCCTTATATTTTTTGAGAGAAAAATCACACTTGGTGATGACATCTTGTTCTTTTAATACTCTTTAATCAATTAATGTGTTAGGGTTTATTTGTTAATATTTTAGCTAGAATTTTCCACTGATGCTCCTAAGTAAGTTAGGGCTGGAAAGAGTATAGAATATTTAATCTTTAATATCTTTGCTTATTGTCTGCACAAGTGGACTCTCATGTATTAAAAGTACTAAGTCTCCTACTAATAGTGTACTTCATGCTATCTTGTATGTGTATAATTTCTGATATGTTGGGTTGGCCAAAAGTTCGTTCAGGCTTTAAATCAGAACGAACTTTTTGGCCAACTCAGTAGTCATGTTGGTGTTATACTGTTTGGTACATAGACATTCCTGCCAGGCTCCTCTGTCCATGGAATTCTCCAGGCAAGAATATGGGAGTGGATGGTCATTCCCTTCTCCAAACATAGGTATTCATAATTCTTTTGTATGCATATGAGAGTACCTATTACTTTAATCATAAATTATCCTTCTTCATTTTGTTTAATGGGTTTCTGGTTTGTATGACACCTAGCCTCCAATCAGGAGTATGTTATGTTTGCCTATCCTTTTATTTTTCTAATATTCTGAGTTATCTTGTAGGTATAAAATTTTATTTTGTTTCATTATCCAATCTAAAATGTCTACTTTCTTATAGAGGATGAGATAATCCTACTCACATTTAATAATATGAAGGATATGTTTACTGTTAGTTCTGCTATATTGTTTTATGTTAGGTTTTTGCTTTTTAAGTTCATAAAATTCCTTCACTCTGTGATCTGTTTTTTAAAATTTATTTCTATATATGTGTATTCTCAGTGTTTATGGTCTATTCTTTGATCCTTTTATTACTTCGTTACTAATGCAAAAACAACTGCATTTTCTATTATTACAGTGTATCTATTAGTTTGCTAAAACAAGTAATGATAAAAATTAGTATTTAATACTATCTTGATTACAGTTTATTCTTGTATTGTTAAATATGTTAGACCACTTATTTGTCCCTTTGAATGATTTTCTTTGACTCCCAGCTTTAGATAATCAATGACTTTATATCTTATCTTTTTCTTCTTGCCCTTCTCATCCAAATTCTGTTTAGATATATATTATTATATTGTCTGCATCTATGAGATTTATATACTATCATTTTGCTCTAATTCTTACATTCTCGTATTTCAGGTCAATAATTAAATACATTCAATGCTCACAACCAGTCCTTGATCCAAGATTATCACTTCCATTTATCACTTAGAAGCGAAAATCCATGCTCTATTCTGAAGATAGCTTCATGAGAATAACATTCCATAGTTCTTGGATGTTCAAAACTTTGTTTACAACTATGACATTTGAAAGTGAAAGTCCCTCAGTCCTGTCTGACTGTTTGTGAGACTGTGGACTGCAGCCCACCAGGCTCCTATCCATGGGATTCTCCAGGCAAGAATACTGGAGTAGGGTGTCATTTCTTTCTCCAGGGGATCTTCCCAACCCAGGGATCAAACCCGGGTCTCCCGCATTGGAGGCAGACGCTTTAACCTCTGAGTCACCAGGGAAGATAAGATACTTGAAGGACTAGCTAAATAAGAAAAGCCTTAACTCTTATGCTGGCATTTTGTGGACTTTGGTATCTTGTTATAGTGAAGAATCTTGAAGCCAATCTCAATATTTTCCTTTGTTTGCTAGTGATTGCTTTTTTCATCTCTTTCAACCCCAAAGATTCTTTATTATATTTACATTCTAGTTATTGTATTATGATACATCTTCGTGGTGACAAATTTTTTTTAGTGATCGCTGTATCCTTTAAAAATGAAATTTCAAGTCTTTCACTTCAAGAATGTTTTTTTCTTTAATAATATTGAAGATTTATTCTTTTTCATAATTTGTATTTTCTTACTTTCGCCTGTCTTCTCCATCTTTCATATTCTCTCTAATCCTGTTCATCTCTTTCTTTATTTCAAGTTCCTTTTACTAGTCTTTCTTATTTTTTGTCCTCTTTCCCATATGATGTTTATCTCAGTGTGTGTTCTTCCATATTTATTCTTAATTTGTGATGTTATAATTTTAGTTTTACTTTTTACTTAAGTTTTACCAGCTTTTGGTCATTATCTTCTATTGCAGCTTCAACCTCACCCAATGAAATTCTTGCCTAAAGCCTTGTAGTTTTCATTCACAGAAGCAATCCCTTCATTGTGTCCTTATGAAAATTCATGGCAGAATGTCAGAACAAGTTTTTCAACTTCTCCATGGCAACATTGTTATGGTGTGTTCTTCAACAATTGGTCATTTTGGTGCCCCTCTATATGTTTCTCCTATATTATTGTGTTGATACTGTTCCCATTCTTTTTTATAATCACTCATAATTAACCAAATTAAAATTTTCTCCTCTAGTTTCCTGGGAAAAGGAGAGGGGAAATTAGTCACCTAGAATTTGCAAAGGGTCTATATTCCTTTACCTTTAATCTTGTTAATGTCTATAAGTTAATTAAAAAGTATTTTTTTCTTTGGGTTTAAAATTTGTCATAGTCATCATAACACCTTCCTTAGTGATAAAACACTTCTATTGGATCACTAGACTAAACTTCACAAAGGCACAGTTACTAAGTTTCTCCACTGTGATATCTGTGAAGCCAAACATGTTGCCTGCCCACAAGGGGTGCTTATCAAATATGTGTTCAATAAACAGAAAAATTACATTTCTTTGCTAACCAATCTTTGATACCAGTGCAGTATTTATTAAAGGATGGAGTCTTTGCTCTGATTTCAGAAAATTCTAATGTATTTGTTTTCAACTACATAAATACAAAGAGTCATTGTTTAAAACGAAGGTTTGTATTTTAATTATTTACTTGGCTTCCCAGGTTGTAATGCAACATATAAGTAAATGAAACAATGTCACAGCACAATGCAACACTAATAAAAATGTAGAAGGGGACAGGAACACATAAGGGAAGGAATGCTATGGTAGAGATGACAGGACAGTTTACACCCAGCCTAAGTATCTAAATTTAAATTCAAGTCCTCCAGCAGAACTGAGATGTCATTCCATCTTTTATCATCCTAGTCTTGTCACTGGTGGACCAAGAGGATGGGGAGTAAGGAGTTAGAAGCTTATCTTGCTGAGCTTTATAAGTTATCTCTTCTCTTTGTTTGGCTTTGAGGCATTTTAGTTTGCATTTTTTCTTTACCTTTTACAACCACAAAATGAGATTATATGGATATTGCTCTTATAGTTTCACAATCAAATATAGGAGGAATAGGAATATCCTAAAACAGGGGAAAGAAAATAGAGATTTAATTCTCGGTAACCAGTCTTTGCCCAAATAGCTACTCCTATTTGAAAAAAAAAAGGAACTGAAAATTTCTGTAATATAGACACAACTGAGAAGACTTAGAGAGTCAAATGAGCTGTAAGTCTTCACCAACCATTTCTTTCCTGTGGTCTTCTTTGAAAGAATAGCATATGGTGAATTGGCATGGTGTAACAGTGAACATCTGGAGACAGTAACAGGTTTTTTAAAGATGAGGTGTGTTAGGAGAGTTTGATATCTCCTGTTCCCAGAGGAGGTGCTTCTCTCATTCAGATTATTAGATATATGTGAAACCAAATATTTTCATGAACAGATAAACTCTGCAGGAAAGATTCCAGAAAGTTGAGAATACCATCTAGTATACTACTTTATCACCAACATTTTTTCTTCTCACAGGAATGTATATGGGAAAAGCCAGAGGCTCTTTATCAATATTTGAGTATGCCTTACTGCATTAAAAATGTTTCTCCCTACTGCATTTACAATTGAGTGTGCACCTATTTTAACCTAAGAACATGTTATATTAGACATACTTAGGTAAAATAAAATACCTATTTCACTTATTCTAACAGAAAAGGTTCTTTTGGCATTGAAGCGATGACTTTTACATAACTAAAAGCCTAATAATTTGAATAAAAATCAGAAACTTCACAGGGAGTAATGTGGCTACTTTATACGTTTGTTAGATTATTTGAGGAGAGTTTTAGACCTTTTTTTTTTCCTAATCATATCTTTTATGCATATAATCCACCTGCTCCCTGCCTATCCTCAACTACCAGTTGAAGATTATGAAACTAAATACAGTTCACGGAAATCAGTCAACAACGTCCATTTACCAAAGTGTGGATTCACCCTCTGGATACTGAGCTTACAGGCGCTACAGTATGTTTTCATGCGAGTCTTTGCAGTTTGCGATAAACAGGACTGTCTCACAGTCTAATAAAGCAAAGCAAATCCTAACAGGAAAGCAAAGCCAATTCTAGGAGAATGTGAATAAAAACAAAAAGCTCTGCAATTTTTAAAAAAATAAGAAATATTTCGCTTAAACTGGCTAAGTCGTGTCCTGATTTTTTAGGATATCGAAAAAAGAAAGGAGGAGAGCCAAGGCAGAGGGCAGTTGACTGCCCCTGTGCCCTTCATACTGAAACCTCCCTAGATTACTGAGAATGGTCCCAAGAAATCGGGTCAGAGGATTACTAATATATTTATATATATATATATTTTTACCTCATTAGCTGGTCAACCCAGGAGGCAAACACTGCCACCCGTGCCCAAGCAACTGCTCCGAGGAGCTGGCGACGGTTGCCTGCATCGAGTTCCCCGCCGGCGGCTCCTTCTGGCCGGACACCCTGTGCCAAAGAGCGCCCGGGGAAGCAGGCAGCAATAGGGGCGTGCACAGATGTCATGGATGCACAGGCATGACCGTAATCTGACCAGAAAGGACAGCGAGGCAAGGCGACCGCCGGCGGATCCGAGTCTGGGAGCCGCGGCGATCGGGCTGTCGGCGGTGCGTGCGCGCACAGGTGCCTCGGGCTGGCGGCGCCCGGAGCTGGCGCGGCCGCCTGTCGGCCTCAGCCCGCTCACCAGCGCGCCGAAGACCCGGCCGCGGCCGAGCCTGGCCACCCCCAGCCCAAGCCGCGGGAGGAAGAGCCCAAGGAAAGGGCGCGAAGGGGGAAGAGGGGAGAGGAGGGGGGGGGGCGGGGAGAGACCCTACTCCTCCTCCCCGAGATCTGCTCCCCGAGCCCCTCTGGGGCGAGCCTTGGCGGGGCTCGCGCGCCCCTCCCTCCCTCCTCCCCACTCGGGGAGTCCGTCTCCCCTCTCCCCTGGCTCCCCCCACCTCCCCTCTCTTCCCTCCCTCCCTGCCGCGCGCCTCCTCCCTTCCCCCTCGCCTCCCTCCCTCGCGGCGGCAGCAGTAGCCGCTTCAGCCGAGCCGGAGATGGGCAGAGAGCGCGCGCGGCGCAGCAGCTCCGGATCCGCCGTCCTCCCCGCCCGCAGCTCCCCGCGCCCCCGCCGCCGCTGTCGCCGCCTCGGCGGCCCCCGGCTCCAGTCCCGCTCCTAGGACAGCGCCGCTGCCTCCGCTCGGCCCAGCCCGCCGCCTGCGCCGCGCCGCCCGTACGCGCGCCTGGATGGCGCTTTCCACCCCGGACCGGTGAGTAGCCTGGAAAGCGCAGAGGGTCGGGCGGCCGGGCAGCCGGCCGGGAGGACCTCTGGCATTAGGGGTTACCCCCCAAACCACCTGCTGTGATTCCTCAGCCTCCGGGCGGGCGCCTCCGGAGAGCGCCGCTCCTTGATCCCTGGGGGGCTTGTGGATGTCAACTCCACCTGCTGGGAACCCTCTCGCTCCCGCGGACAGCTGGGGCAACTCGCTGTCCCCGCTCCACCTTCCGTCCCCGGAGCTCCCACTTTCGCAGCAGCCGTGGATGGCCCTGACCCTCCGGTCACCCCATCAGGGTCCTCTCAGCCCCCATCGTCCCCGCGTCGCCCCCTTTTGATTTCCCGCTTCTGGCAGCCCGCAGACTCCCCCACCTGCCACCCCGCGCTGGTTTCGCACTGACAAAGCCTTCCTCACAAAGTGCGCCCCTGACCCACCTTCCCTCCTTTTCGAAAGCCGGGCTCCAGAGTCCTACCGTCCCGCCGTATTTCTTCGCCGAGCGAAGGGTTTTGCCGGGGAATTCTGACCTTATTCCCTCGAAACGGTGGTACCTCTCCAGCTTTTTTCTGTCACCTCAAAAAACGGATACGGACAGTTTTCTGGCATCTGTTCCGATCCTGGCATCTGTACAGTTACTTTGTGTGTGTGTTAGCACCGGGGCTGCTTAGGGGATGAGCAAACATGAAAAAAGAAAGGCAAAAACCAAACCTTTTGCGACTAAACTTTTTGCTATTGTTGCTTTAAAGAGCACAACTATTTACGTCTCTCAGAGTCCTTGTATTCGTTTAGAGGCATTTTAGCTGGGGACGGCGACCGCCCCTATTTTACTTGTTTCCCTGGAATCGGAATTAATTTCAGGTTGAGAACCGTGCACCTGGGTGATGAATACGCTTTGCAACCCTGGAAGAAAAAGCCCAGCAACTCTTGAGAATAAGAAGCTTTTTTTTTTTTTTTTGAAAAGAGGGGAGAATAGCCTCAAATTCACCCTTTAAAATCTCCTTTGAGTTTGCAATGAGCCCAAACCCTTATTTTTCTTTGGGTTCAGTGGCTGAGAGAGGGATTTAAGAAGATAGGAAAACGTTGTTTTAAAAAGCCTCTGCACTCTCTGGCTGCTTCAGGTGTTGAGTAGTATCTTAGTGTCCAGACAATCTCTGTAGAAGTTTTCTTAGGGCATAAGCCCTTTCTTCCAAAACCATGTTAACGTTTTACTATTTCTCCTTGGTTTGAGGGGGAAAAAAGGAAGTTGTGTTCAGTGAAGCATGTGGTCAGTGAAGGTGGTGAGGCTGAGAAAAAAAAAAGGAAGTTGTGTTCAATGAAGGAATAATATGAATAAGGTGATGAGGCTGAAAAAAAAAGGAAGTTGTGTTCAATGAAGGAATATGAATAAGGTGATGAGGCACTGAATGATGCAGGGAGAGCCAATTTAAACACTAAAATGTGTGCTCCTGATTCCTTGTGTATTGAAATCTTAAAAACAAAACTACCACCACACAATTTTTGATCGAATTTTCGAAGAAGTAATGAAATGTATTAATTTCAGCATATTTTACTCTCTAGAACCCTTGATCACAGGGCTTGAGTTCGAAGCAATGCAGATAAGAGTATGCAGAAATAGATGTTAGAAACTTTAAAAGGTGTCCCATTTGAGTATGTAGTGTGTGAATATAAATTTCCTGGTGATAACTATTTTTTATTCTTTTAAATTATTTTGAGAAAATAAGAGTCCAGTTGGCATTTCTTGTTCTTGCAGTCGAGGGAGAGAGAATGCTACCTCATCTTAAACAAGCAGATCTCTGCTTACACAAGAAATAGGGAAAGGTGAGCAATTACCTGAAGAATTTATTTAGTGAAGATTGTCTTCCACAATGTAGAGATTTTTTAAGAAATTTAACTCAGGCTGTATTTGAGCCTTTAGTTCTGTTTCCTTGTGTAGAGATAGGTAGAAATTCATTGAGCAAGTCACTGGCAAGGGATGGTTTTCAGTGTGGTTTTGAGCTGCATCTAAAGTCAGGAGCGGCTATGAATAGCAGCTTTATTGTTTTTTAAATTCAGAAATTTTAGTTGCTTAAAGTTAGTGCTTGACTGTGAAGAATATTCAAACTATTTAAACTTGTAATTACTGCAGATATGCACACATGGTCATATCAGGTGGATAGGGAGTAGGTAGGTTATGAGCTGAATCAAAAGATCATTTTTTTTTTTCCTCTAAGTACCTTTGCCTTTTGGATAACAGTGGATAACAGTGTATTCTTCCTAATACAATGTCTCCAACAGTTATGAAGCTCTATTGGAAAAGATAAATTTCCATTGAACAAAAGGGAAAAAGCAAGTACAATGCTGACTTCATCAGTTATTGGCCAAAATTGTGTTAATGATAAGTTCACAGCAGTATGTGTTAGTTATTCTATTTAGCATCAACTTCTAAGCAATGTCAGAAGTGCACACCTTTTGTAAGGATATATGCTTGCACAATGTGCAACATTAAAATGGCCTTAGAATTGTCTGTGAGAATGCAAATAATCAGTCTGTCATAAATAGTGGCAAAATTTCTGTTAATAATTCTTGGTGAGCTGAAACTTAGGAAGATCTACCTAAATTTAGTGTAAATTTAGTCACTGTCATTTTTAAGGCTCTGCAAAAACAAATAATAGCACATGTGGAGACAGGGCATACCAATATTTGAATGGAGTATCTTTGCATTTGTTTAAGTTGAATCTTACAATTCTTGGAATTATATGCCACCCAGAGAATGGGCTGGGTTGAAATGAAATGTTTACAGTGGTAAAGAGAAATCAAAAATTGGTAAAGAGAAATTAAAAATTGTGAAAGTGATATAGATTATTTTACCAATAGACTGCTGTTAGTTGAATGTTCCATGTAAAACTGTGTTTTGGCTTCTGTGTGGTGATGAGAGAGCCTGGGAAGGAAAAGCAGGCAAGAAGGGAGAGATAGAACAGGTACCTACCTATGGATACTTGATTAAATTCTTTACTCAACTAAAGCTAACTAAATACAAGCTGTATTATTTTGGTATGTGGGACAACAGCTATTTTCCAACTTGCATTTTAAAAACTGTTTCCTTAATTGCAGCAATAAAAATATAATTTTTTAAATGAAGTGCCTCCTTGATTTTATTTAGTAAGACTTGGGGATTATAGGTAAGCTATTTAATGTGAACTAATTGACCTAAATGAAATTCTAAACAACTTTAAAAGCAAAACCTTGAAAGAAAACACACATACTCACACACACCTAAAATTACAATATTAGATAAAGAGCCAACCAAGTGATTTAGTGTCTTATGAAGGCAAGACGATTCGGTCAAGGGATAACTACACAAAATATTTTCATAGCTTAATATATATTTTTCACATTTCCTACTTATATTTGTGGATATGTTATTCATATATATGTATAGTTGCATTTTATTTACAAATTCATGAGAGTGTATTTTACAAAACGCTGCAAATTTTATGAATTCTAAATTCTGAAATTGTTCTTGCAAGTATCAAATGATTACATAAATGTTTACAAGTGACTTTGTTTTCTACCTTTATTCTATAGTTCAAGAAATATTTAACAAAAAGCATTCTCAAAGAGCAAAGAAGCAAAATGAATATTTCAAAACAAGCTTGGTGATTCAACCAAAGTTTTACAACAGTGCTGTCAAAGTGATACTCTCGTAAGGTCAACTCTAGTGTACAATTAAAATTCCTATAAGAAAGAAACATTTAGATTCTCTGATTTTACATGTGATTGTGAAATTCACTGTTCATTTAACTGCAAATGGAATTCTTGACACTCTTACTAGAAGGAATCACAGAATTTAGGTGTCAATTAGAGGATGTAGAAGGCATTCCATTCTCATCATTTTACTTAGTTTACCCAAGGTTCTTAAGTAGTTAATAGAAACAGAATTAGGATCCATGTCTCCTGACTTCATCCTCTATATCTTTTTATAAAAGAAACATTAGTTTTCCCCCTTATTTTATTTTCAGTTCAGTTCAGTCACTCAGTTGTGTCCGACTCTTTGCAGTCCCATGGACTGCTGCATGCCGGGCCTCCCTGTCCATCACCAACTCCAGGAGTTTACTCAAACTCATGTCCACTGAGTCGGTGATGCCATCCAACCATCTCATTCTCTGTCATCCATCCCCTTCTCCTCCTGCCTTCAATCTTTCCCAGCATCAGGGTCTTTTCCAATGAGTCAGTCCTTCGCATTAGGTGGCCAGAGTATTGGAGTTTCAGCTTCAGCATCATCATTCCAATGAATATTCAGGACTGATTTCAAATCAGTTTAAAATAAAAGAAAACTGAAAATGAAATGAAATAAAAGTCTGTGCTTCATCAGTAAATACCTAGGTCTCAAAGCATCATAGTTAAAAGAAAGGTTTTCTGCTTACTCTATCCTATCTTCAGGTTAGAACTTGGGAAATATTTTAAATATTTAAACATTTTAATTGTCATTGGTCTACCTGAAAATCTCTTAAAATTTTTATTTAATCTTTAATAATTTAATAATTTAACTTAATAATTTTAATTACCATCATAAATTCTAATAGGTATAATAAGGTATACATTTCTTTCATGGTAATCGTATATCAGTGGACACTTCCATTTTAATTTTTTATAGAGGGTTCATTATAGTTTCATATCTATTCATGTTTGATATTTGCTACCATAGATAAAGTTAGTACATCCATGTGTTTTGGGTGCTTTTTATTTTTTTTGTCACCATAGTTTATGAATAGCTCAAGAGGTCAGGGAAAATAAATTTGTTGCACCAAGTTTCAAGTTCACAGTTGAAAGTCCTGGCACTTTTAGCCTTTTCTTCACTGATGGTCAGAGAAATCTGAAAATGAATGACTGAATCAATGGGGAATTGTCATCATTACTAGCTAAAAAATAAACGTTCAAATGTATTCTTGGTGATGGTGACTCATCAGTGTCATCTTAGCTAGGAAGAGTAATGTGGTAATATAGATTGCTAACTCAATGATGTTGTCTGTAACAACACTGCTTTATCTAAGAGTGCCTGGGTTGATAAAAGTTAGGAGAATTTGCCCTCTCAGACCACTGGGTGATGGGTTCAAAAGCTGTGGAGGAAGTCTTGTCTTGGGAACGGACCTTCTTTAAACCATTTAAGATGCAGATTTGACTGAAAGGAGAATTACATGTCTTAAGACTCCCTTGATCCAGCTTTTCTGGAGTGTAATTCAGCCTCCACTTATTGAGGGTCCAGTGTATGGCAAAAACTGAAGTGATGACTACAGACATAAGAACAAACTTGATATGGTTCTGACCTCAAGCAGCTTACAGTATAACTGAAAAGACAGATAAGAACAAACATGTTGCTGAACACAGGTGTCCAGAGAGAAATAAAAAAAGATTACTGCTTAATCATAATATGCCTTGCCAAAATGTATGGACATGTGACTTGGCTAAGTTTGGCACAGAAATAACCTATGTCCTTAAAAGAACATGTTTCCATTGCTTCCATTGCTAACTCTAACACAAATGTTTCGACCATGCAGCTATTTATGAATGTGCATTGACATA